TTTTATTGTTGTTATCATCCGTTTTTTATTGTTGTTATCATCTGTTTTTTTAATTGTCGTTAGCATCTGTTTTTATTATTGTCATTAGCATCTGTTTTCATTGTCATTAGCAACTGTTTCTCATTGTCATTCTCATCTGTTTCTCATTGTCATTCTCATCTGTTTCTCATTGTCATTAGCATCTGTTTTTATTGTCATTAGCAACTGTTTTTACAGCATTGCTCAGAATTAGAACTCTTTTTTTGGGGGGTGTTTTTCTTCTAACTTTCAGGCATGACGAAAAGGGAAAAACTAAGAAAATGTTATTTCTTTAGTATTTATTATACTCAGTAAGAAAAAGCTTGAGCTTTAATGTCAAGTATTTCAATTCAATTTACACTTGAAGTTGTATTATAATTTATGTTTGTCATATATCACCGAAGGAAAAAAAGCCTTAAATAAATCAGGACAACTTTCCTGTTTTGTGGTTTCAACATAATTTTTTTGTAATTTTTCCACCCTGCTGCTTAAAAATAACGCAGATTAACATCAAAACATGAAGCTTGATCATAGAAAGTGTGCTACAGTTATATGTGTTTTACAGCATAGACAAACACTTTTTCCCATTGACAACCATTAGATTTTGTCAAAATAAAAAACAAAAATCAACAAGCTTTTTTGGAGCACTGTAGCTCAAACATACATCACAGTAAAAACAAGTGACAGAAAGTTAGACCTCATATGACTGAACTGGCCTTTTGATATATTTTATGGTCTTTACACAATGACGGAGTTAGATGATTTTTGGAGATTTTTCTCCACAGAACGTTCAATGGATGGGTTGGTTGTGTCACGTTCTAACGTTCAAGTAGTGTAAAGTTTTAAATCTGTTTGCAAACAAACTCAACTTGTTGAGTACATACACAAATTACACATCAAAGCATAGACATTTTTATCTTCTTTAACCCAGCATGTCTCTCAATGGTATCAGAGTTTACTCAAAAATCCCCTCTGAGCGCACATCTGAGCCTCCAAACAGACCTTGACAACTAAAAACTGGAAGTAAATATTATTTTTAACTTGCCTAATCTGTTTTGTAAAACACCTTAAAGCATAAAATCTGACCCTTGTAGTCACTGTTGTCTAATCTCAAGATCTGGCTCGTGGTTTTTTGCAGTGTCTGTTCGTTTGAGGCTTGTTTATCCAACTCGTGTAATTTTACGACTCTAAGATGCAACAAAGAAACTTTTATTCTACTTTTCCACTTTACTGTGTGAGAAAGGATTACTTGGTCCATTGTTAGCCTTATCCTTATCCCGAAATCACCTAGAACCAGACTAAAAAAAAAGCAAACAAGACTGTACAAAAGGTAATTTCCAATGATCCTTCAGTTCCTGGTGAGCCATCGTTCCTGGAAGTCGTCAGTTTCCCCTTTTCTGTTCCTGGTAAAGTCTAAAGGAAAGATGAAACCAGCCGCCTTTCTTTCATTTTAAAAGATTTAAAGTCCAGAAACATTACAGTATGTGATGTGTACAGACCCTCACCCATCCCTCCCCCTTCTCTCTCCTGCTCTCCCTTCTTTTCACAGCATTGTCACCCTAGACGGTTCACACGGTCTCCTCTTCACTGTGTTTCCGGTCATAAATCTCTGCAACGCACCGTGAAGGCACATCCCCTTGGATGGATTTAACACCCCCTCCCACACACACCCCACCTCTCCCCCAACTCTGAGAAAAGGGGCGATGAGAGCTGGCACACGGCGGGACTTGCACTCGTACATCCTCAGACCCAAACGGACACTTTCCTGACTGAAACAAGGAAGAGTTTGTCTTTAGGAGTTTGGGAAACAGTGGGATAAGTACTGATGTGTGTTATGGCTTGGGTCGAGCTCTGACTCATCGCTCCTCTGGGGAAGGGGGGTGAGGGGAGTGACTCACACTTTTCTCAGAACGGACTCACAGGAATCCTTCCGACCAGACTCCCAGCCTCATAAATTTGGATGCTGGTATTTATTTGGCACGGTTTGTGTATCAGCAATGCCCCACCTGCTTTTTTCAGCCGCCACCTTTCCCCGTTTTGCCCCTCCTTGATTTCATCTCAACCATCCGGCCAGGAGTTGTAGCCGCCTTCTTTCTTCCTCCTTCCCTTCGAGGGAGCAGGCCATGGGTGGCCTCGGTCTGCTGCACCGCGGACAAAAAAATCCAAACCAGCGACAGCCCTGTTTGTTTTCTTTCCCTCATCAACATCACCCCCACCAAAACTACCGCCATCAAACAAGCGCCATACATGTACTCCCCGGCTGCCACATCTACCGTGCCACACACACACCCAGACCACATTCTTACATCCCTACCCCCCACACTCTCCCACAACACACACCCACAAACACACCTGACCGACTTCATTTCCTGTGAGGCATGAGTCAGGCGGCTGCAGAGCATTTACCACAGTAATACATGCTTATTAGCCATTCTGATAATATAGTGTTGATGTGACTGTCAAGGCAACCTGAGCGGTGAAAAAAAGGGAATTGTATGCGTGTGGGTGGTTGGGATGAGTCTTTGAAGATTCTTTGGAAGTGTTCGGGCATGCGGTGGGTCTATGTCCGCAGGTGTGTGTGTGTGTAGAAGAAAACGGAAAGATGAAACAGCAGGGAGAGCCATTCACCTGTTTTTTCTTGTAGAAGCCCTTTCTGTCACAGTTGGGTATGCGGAAGCCTCTCGGGTTGAGCACATTGTTGATCTTTAAACTGTTCAGGATGCTGTCAATCTCCCTCCGACACGGCCCCTGGCAACACAGCAAACACACCGACACGACAGCATCACCAAGGAGTCATTTTTAGACCGAAACAACGAATAACATAAATGTTTTCACTCTTAAAGTTAAAGAAGATTTGGAATCGAACCCCCAAAATGTCCCCATTGATCATGAAATGTCTCTAAATTTGCTTTAAGAAGCAAGTAAAAATCATTTAAACACTCTGGGTTGAAAACAGCCCAATGTGTAACGCAGAGCTGGGTTATATTTGTGTTGATCCAACGCTGGATAGCTTTCTATCCAAGACTTTGGTTAAATTGACTAATTTGTTGAATTAGAGCCAATATGAAGCTTAGTTCAAACGAATAACCAACATTTTATTAGCTTTACTGGATAATTACAACATGGGTTGGTGCAAGCTAGCTGGCACTAACTGCTATTACCGTTAGCTAGTTAGCACCAACTACCAATAATGCTTTCTTGGAACCCAAACTCAGTTTAGTGCAAACTAAAGTTATTTACAAAACCAACCAGGTTAAACATCTTACAAGTTTATTTTGCTAGCGTTATTACATCCTAAAGCAGATGGCTTAAAATCACGGACTGTAAAGACTGGCATGACTCATCTACGACCAAATGTTTGGTCAAAGCAACCCAACCGATGACCCCACAGCTTCATCCCAGCTACTGAGTCATCAAAATAATCCAGCCGTTTTTACTGTGTGGCTGTTTGTTCATAGTTTAGTAGACTAAAGTTCCTTCTTTAAGTGAAAAATAAAAATAAAAAACAGGATTATGAGGATTTGTGGTCTGAAGATGGCTGAATTGAACCCTCTGGTAGGTCCAGATTGAAGAGGTTAAATCCCAAAATGAGATCGACTTTGAAAAAAATAAAATGCGGTACCTTCTGGTTCAAAACATTTATAAGCAAAACTAATTGCATCTAAACAACAGTGCAGAGCATAGAGCCACACTGCAAAGGGTTCTATACCACAAATTGCATCATATTGCAACGTTTTGTGATGTTTGTACCAAGTGTTTTTGTTTGCACGTCAATTTGGCTCTACGTGCACACCACCTACAAACTGGCATTACCTCCAGCTGCACACAGACGGAATATCTTTAGGATCTCTTTTGTTATTTGCGAATAATTAGGATCCCCAGGTATCATTAACCTTTCTGCTTGTGCTGCCATGGTAACGACTCAGACATAAATATATACACGGCCACGCTGGTGATAAAGGCTTTTCAGCAAAGACTTGCTATGGAATCCTACACCCAAAGTGCCTGGGGACGCTTTACTGCTCTCCGTCTATAGACTCTATAGCATTTCAGTGACAGCGGTGAGAATTATACTTGGCTCTTCCATCAGACTAAATTTCATGTTTTGTGTTGGGGAAAAAAGAGAGATGTGCAACCTGAGCAGCCACAGTTTCTGCAACGAGACAATACAATCTGATGTGGGTCATATTTTCAGCCACCTTCAAAGACAAACCAGACCCCGTTACCAAAAAATAAAATAAAATAATAAATATATATTTTAGACATATTTAATGCCAAAAGATTTACTTGTGCTGGTGAATGAAAGCCAGCACAGCTGCAGAAATAAATCAATATTATTCACTCAATGCATGATCGTCTCCCTCCACTTGTCTCCAGTGAATAAATAAATGATGCAAAATTTCTGAAGGGAAATCCAGGGTCGTTTATTTATGGTTAATATTTGTGTAACACATGCCAGACGCATCTGTGTCACGAAAAACTAACTGGTTATTGAAAAGTGTCTTTTAGTCTCAGCATCTGATTTTTATCTGTATTTTTAGTTTATATTTACTTAATTATGATTTATTTTGCAAAAATACCACTTTCCTATTATAAATATATCCACAATGTTAGATATAAAAGACAAATTATTAGTAAGAGCTGCTTGCTAGCAGCTAATCAGTTGGTTGGTTTGATGGACAAATGGATGGACGGATGGATGGACGGATGGATGGATGGATGGACGGATGGACAGATGGATGGACAGATAGATGGATGGATGGATGGATGGATGGATGGATGGATGGATGGATGGATGGATGGATGGATGGATGGATGGATGGATGGATGGATGGATGGATGGATGGATGGATGGATAGAAGGATAGAAGGATGGAAGGATGGAAGGATGGATGGATGGA